GGCAGGGCCCCAGGGGCTCGTTTTCCCTGGAGGCTCTGAGAAAGCTCTGGAAGGGTCTTGGGGTGGTCTCTGCAGAGGCAGCTCTCTGCCTGGTGTGTGCTGTGGGGTCTGGAGCTGGCAGCACCTGGGTGAGGGCTGGTGGGCGCCCCACAGGCTCCCAACAGCACCGCCCTGGGCTTGCTGTGGTACTCCCAGCCCCAGCTTGGCAGGCACTGCAGTTCTCACTCAGCCAGCCTGGGTTGTCACCGTGATGTCACCATGTGCCAGTGTGTGCTACTGATCCTGTCATGAGGCTGCCAAGTCCTCAGTCACTTGTAGCCACTGAGGGCTGCAGCAAGACCACAGGGCATCTCTGTGGGCCCTGGCCTGGCTGTGCCGAGACCTCACCAGTTCGCCCCTCCAGATGGTGCTTCCTGGGTTTTCCCTGGGCTGCTCTGAGGGAGATGGGGCAGAGTGGGTTTGCCCCTGGGCCAGCCTGGCGTCCCTGGAGTGAGCAGCTCCATCCGACTTGAAGGTAAACATGGGGACATCTGTGTCCTTGCTCCTTTCAGCCCTCACCCTCCTTTCAGCTTGGGCCCCTTGTGCTGCAGGAGGATGCTCCTGCTAGAGTCACAGGGCCCGAGGTGCCCACGCTCTGCTGGCCCTGCTGGGGCATCTCAGAGTTGGTCCCTCTGCATGACCCCATCTGCACTGCGTGTGTGTTGGCAGAGTGGCAGGTACCTAGGGTGCAGGCCTGTGGGACCAGAGAGTCGAGGGAGCCAAGCGTCAGCAGGTGCTGGGGGCAGGCAGCTCCTGTGGGCCCGGCCACATGGATGCTGCTTGAAAGGACACAGTGGGCCTCCGTGTGGGAGCTGGTGAGTCCGCCCAGAGCTGACCTTTGGGAACTGTGGGTCGCCAGCTTGCGGGGTCTGAGCTAACAGTCTGTGCTCTGTGCCCTCCAGTGGCCACGTCGGGTTTCCCCACACGGTGTTTAAAACAACAGATGTTTCCTGACAGCTCTGAAGTCAGAGTCCAAAAAGGACTAAAATCAAGGCAGGCAGGACTGGTCCCTTTGGAGGCTACAGGGAAGGGTAGCCCCTCCTGCACCCTCAGAGCCGCAGCCAAGGGCCTTCTGGTCTTCTGGCCTCTGCTCCTGTTGCCACAGGCCCTCCTCCGGCTCAGCCTTCCTTCCTCCCTCTCATCTTTGGGTTGCTTTGTCCCACCTGGGAAACCCAGGATGCTCTCAGTCCCAACTGCAAAGTCTCTCTAAGGTTCTGGGGATGAGGCTCTTTGGTTTTCTTTCTTTGGTGCTGGGGATTGAATCCCAGGGTGCTCTCCTGCTGAGCCACCTCCCCAGCCCTTTTAATTTTTTAAACCTCAGACTTGCGGTCTTCCTGCCCAGCCCCAGAGTCTGTGGGACTGCAGGTCTGTGCTACGTGCAGCACACACTGCACGAAGACCCTGTGCCTGTGGCTGCCCAGGTACAGCCAGAGCCGTGGCAGGCTCAGCAATCTGGGGGTGGCTCTGCTCTGCCACAGTGTCGGCCCACCTTGGAAGTTCAGGGTAGGGGGACACGCAGGGGCCCATGGAGTGGAGAGCCCTGCCTGGCTGACCCAATGCCCACCTTCCTGTAAGGGGGATTGTCTCCGTTCACAGGGTCCTGGTTCTCAGAGCTGGGGGACCCCAGCAAATCATCTGGCCCATGCCATCCCGTGGGGAGACCCCAAACCCTCTAGCCTTGGACTGACTTTCCGGGTCTAGACACTGACTCTGGGGCCAGAAGCCATGTGCTATTTCAGGGTGCCCTGTGTGTGCCCTGTCATGGACTCCTGGCATGGCAGTTCCGAATCCCCACACAAAAGTTTCATGACCAGGAAGGGCTTGGGGCTGGGCCCATGAGCCAGGCAGGCGTGGGTCTGTGTACTTCAGGAGGGAGCCGGGGCTAGGAGAGGGGAGTGCCGGGGTGGGGGACTGGGAGCTGAGTGTTCCTGTCTGCACTGCAGGAGGCTGCGGCCAGCCATCCCGTGCAGGTGGGTGTGAGCAGGGAGGCCACTGCTGTGCAGGGTCAGTGCAGCCCAGGAGTGGGGAGCCAGCCAACGGCCCTACTGACCTTACCTTTGCAGCCAGCAGGACCCAGTCCTGGGCCGGCCCTGGGGCTCCAGGGAACCCTGTGGCTGAGTGCAGGCTGACAGCCTCCAGGGCTGGCCAGCTCTTAATAAGCCCCTACTGTTTGCCTGGCCAAGCGCTGCTGTGTGATTCACCATCACCTTTTAGGGATCTGGGCTAGGGGAGCCCTGAGCTGTGGGTGGGGTGGGTGCTGTTGCCCACCCCCACAACTGACTCTCCCATCATGGGGGTCAGGGTCCTGACCCCACTATGCCCTGGGTCCCTCTGTGTCTTTGGGGTCCTGCTGGGGGCCACTTTGTTTTTAAGCTTCCCAAGAGTCCTCCTGGCCTCCCTCTGACTTCCTGGTAGGCAGCCTCGGGGCCTAGGAGGGACCCTGGAGTCTGTCCAGAGCAACTGTGGCCTGTGCGTGGAGCAGATGGTCCTGGAGCCCCAGGCAGAGACGCAGGCCTGCTGGGGTTCTTCTGCATTGTCTGATGGCCAGGCAAGTTCTGAAGGGGTGGGCAGCAGCCTCTCTGCAGCCTGCTGAGTGGCCAGGCCTGGGGCCAGCTTGGGGACGGGACGCTCTTGCTCTGGCCATGCTTTAGGCTCTCGGCACCTTCACAACCGGGCTCAGGTGGCTGGGGTTGGGGTGGGAGACTCTGGGGCTGGCGTTTGAATAGGGAGGGCAGCAGATGGGAGGCAGAAGGTGGGGAAGGCCTGGGTGGTCACAGCGGAGAAGGGGACCTGCCCGAGCATCGGATGGAATTAGAGCCCTCGCTTCCCGGCAGCCCTCGGGCCAGGCCCCTGCCAGCCAGCCGCCCGCTTTCTCCTGGTGTGACCTCCATGAGGAAATCCTGCAGCACTTCAGCCACGCTGAGTTCCTCTTCCCTCGAGACTCGCCAGAGGTTGGGGTCGCTGTCGTGCCTGGCCTGGGGGCCCCCGCCACGGGGCTGTGGCTCACACACAGGGCGTATGGCCCCTGCTCCAGCAGTCCACACTGCCCTTTCTTTCTCATTGGGGACACTGGTCTGGGTGGGTGAGGCTGGCAGATGAAGGGTCACCTTGCCTGAGCAATAGGTGTGGACTTCAGTCCTGTGTCTGCTGCTCCGGGGGCTGTTTCTGTCCCTACCCAGGGGCAGTTGCTCTCTGTCACTTGGGCAGTCAGGCCTTACATGGCCTTTCTCTCAGGTTTCTTTAGCCTCTGCCAGAAGGCTGCCCCTCAGCTGTGCCCAGGGCATGGCTGGCACTTCAAAGCCTCCACCATGTCCAGAGGCCCAGGACCTCCAGGAGAGAACTCCTGAATTATTATTTTTTTTTTCCTTTTTGGTTCTGGGACTGAACCCAGGTCTGCTCTACCACTGACCCACATCCTCAGCCCTTTTTTATTTTTGTTTTGAGACAGGGTCGCTCTAAGTTGCTGAGGGTGGCCTCAAACTTGGAATTTTCCGGCCTCAGCCTCCTGAGTCCCTGGGATTACAGTCGTGCCCCACTTCACAAGCCTCCCCTGGAATTCTTCTGGATTTCTTAGCATTAAAGGGGTCACTGGAGTGCTCTGGGCAGTGCTGGGCAGGGGGTCCACCAGGAGGTGTGCACACTGGTGTTGGGGATGACCCCACTTTCTGTGCTGTTTCACCTTCCTCCCTTCCTGGCTGGAAGTTCGTCCATCTGGACAGAAGGAAGGCCGGAGGGCAGGGCAGGAGGGCAGGGCACCCTGAGCCTTCTGCACACGTGTGCTTTCTTGATGCAGTCCTGACAGGGTGACGAGGCCTGGGGGCAGCATCCTGGCCTCCAGCCCTGGAGAAGGGCCCCAGGAAAGCTCTTTCCCAAGCCTCCAGTTCACATCCTGCCCTGTCTGCTTGCCCTTTGGCCTGAGCCATGGTGCTGGGGTGCTGGGGTGCCGGGGTGGGCGGCCATTGAGCAGCAGGTGGACGGCACAGGGGGCGTGTGTGCTGGGCTGCCGTCTGCTGCCCTGTTCTCTGTGGCTAGCAGAGACCCCACCCATCAGCCCCCAGGTGTGGAAGTCGAGGCTGCCCTCTTCCTCCTTCCTGACCTCCCTTCCTGCCCCTTGGCCCAGGATCTCTAGATCTGAGCCCTGCTGGAGGTGCTGCCCCGAGGCGCTGGGAGGCCTGAGAGGGCCGGGTGGCTCAGGTGGCATGTGGCTGGGGCAAGGTAGGAGGGGCCGCAGGACGGGCACTGCTCAGGGGCTACTGTCCTGGGGATGTGGCCCTGCTGTCCTCCTGGCCCAGCAGGGGAGAGGGGCCGGGAGGGGGCACCCAGTCTGAATCGCTGCATTAAGTCCTGGGGCTGTTGTAATAAGTCGCCAGGTGGCTCGAGACCCCCGGAGCCAGGAGGCCAGGATTCCCAGGGCCTCTCGGAGTGTGTGGGGTCCTTCCTGCCTCCTCCTTCCCACCCCTGGTGGCGGCCTCCTCACTGCGTTCTGCTGGGTGTCCACTCGTCCTTTCCCATAATGACCCCCACCCTCCCCTTAGTGCACCTGCAAAGCACAGGCCGTGTTCTGAGGTGCCAGAGGGACGTGTACTGGGCGTGCTTAGCCCAGGTCACCACCCCCACCCTGCTGTGGCTTCGCCTCAGCCTGGGGGAGGGGTTGGGGGGCATCTCAAGGTCATCAGCTTCTGGGCTCATGGGCCACGCTGGAGTGGACCTGGGCTCAAGGGGACAGGCTGTGCTCCCTGCTCAGCCTTGAGGTGCTGGGGCCTCACCTCCCCAGCCTGCTCCCCTCTGCTGCACCCCATCTCCCATTGGGCCGGAGGGGGCAGCTCTTCCTGCCCACACATGCCAGCCGTGGGGAGGATGGCCCTGCCTCTGCACTCTGGCTCTGCAAGCACGGGCTGGGGCTCGGAGGCTCTTCTGGCCTGGTGGGTCCCTGGCTGGTAATCCTGCCCCTCCCTGCCCAGATGTGGACGAGTGCCGTGTGCACAACGGAGGCTGCCAGCACAGGTGTGTCAACACGCCCGGGTCCTACCTCTGCGAGTGCAAGCCCGGTTTCCGGCTCCACGCCGACGGCAGGACCTGCCTGGGTAAGTGCTCCCAGGGGACCCTGTCCTCCTCTGCCCTCGGCTGCCCTGTGCTCCTGGGTGTGCCAGGTCTGGGGAAGGCCCGGTCCCTGCCCCCAGGGACTGAGGCCTGACTGGGCTCTCACTGGGCATGGCCTCGGTGGCCTCAGCTTCGCTGTAGAGGGAGTGTGGCTGCCACTGAGTGTGGCCCTGTCCTGCTGTGGGGCATGACGGCTCCCCCCGGGTGAGGTGAGGCCAGCAGGTGAAGAGTGTGTCCCGAGGCGCTGACTCGGGTCCCTGAGACCCCAGGCTGCCCTCCCTCTGCAGCCTGCCCAGTTCCATTGGAGAGCCGAAGCTGTCTGTGGTGGTCACTCAGCAGGACGCAGGCCAGGCTGTGCTGCCCTCGGGCTGCTGTCCAGCGGTCGGGGAGGCTGCCTGGGTCCCGCGGAAGGTGGGCTTGTGAGCCGTGCCTGGCCTGCCGAGCTGGCTTCTCGGGGACTCGGAGTGTGCGCGGCGGTAGGTGGGGAGTGGGGCCTGAGCCCCTGGCGCCCAGGGTCCTCTCGGCATCTACTGTGAGCTCAGTGGCGCCTGAGGACACAGACTTGGCCTCTGCCCACTAGGGGAGGCAAAGGGAGGCCAGGAGCAGTGAGCAAGGGAACTGCGCAGGAGTCTGGAGAAGAGCAGGGCTGCCCTGCACTCTGCCCCGGCTCTGGACGCAGTGCTCTGGGGATGGCCTCCAGGGGGCACGTGGAGTTGTCCTCTAGGGGACTGAATGAGACGCCCCTTCTTTCCACCCTGCAGATCCAGAGTGGAGCCCGCGCTCCCTCCTGGTCCTGGCTCCTGTGGCTGGCAGCCTGCCAGCCCCAGGGGGGCGCTCCCCCACACGCAGCACATGTCCTTCGCTGCTCCGGGAGCCAGGCAGCTGCCCTGGGCGGGAGAGCAGAAGCAGCTGCGGGAATGTTGTGACGTGCTTCAGGGCAGATGAGCTGGGCCCGACCGGCTGCCTGCTGCCGCTCCTGGGAGCCCTGGCAGGGGCTCAGTGGCCTGGGGTCCCCTGGTCCCCTGCAGCCTCCTGGAAGAGTGGCTTTGGGAGGGACATGTCCTCCCACTCCCCTTCAGATAGGGTCATCTTTGGGGTCTGAGGTGGGGTCCCCTGCTGCTGGCTCCCTGCTGTCGTGGGGGGGGGGACACTCACTCCCATCCCGGTTCCCACTGCCAGATGGTCACCTTCCCTGAGTGTGCTCCCAAAGGGACCAGGACCAGGGTGGGAGGAGACCTGCAGAAATGAGGGACGCTCCTGAGGTCTGCAGTGAGCTGCTGGCCTCAGGCAGCCCAGGAAGCATGCCCCTCAGCCTGGCCTGTCCCCTGCCCCCTCTGCCCACTGCTGTCTGGGCCATCCTGGAGCTAGGCCATCTGGGATCTGCGCACTGGGGCCAGAAGTCTTCCTAGGCACAGGTGTGTTTTAAAGGGTCTCTGCGGGGTCAGATGCCAGGGCTGCTGGCTGTGGGGAGCCTCTGGGACCCCCAGCCCTCCTGGCTGTCCCAACACTCCGCCTGTTTGTGTGGTTGGGCTCTCCAGAGCTTCAGCACCTTCCGGGTACTGGTGCCCACCTCCAGGCCTCTCCCAGCTGAAGGTCCAGCTGGGACTCAGGCACTTCGGTGGGCTGCAGGGTAGTGACCTCAGATTCTCCTTGGACTGCAACTCTCAGCGGGGGGTTTGGCCGAAGCTTCACGCAGTGGAATGTCCCTGTGTGATATATCTGAGGGCTGTTGAGCGAGGACTGTCCTCGTGACTCGGGGCTGACGGCCTCTGCCGAGGTGAGCTGGGAAACACCTTCCTCTCCTGGCGAGACTCTGGTAATGACCTGGGGACACATGAGATGGGCCCTGTTCTCCAGCCACCTCTGCTGGGGCACACCCAGACCCCTTTCCCAGGGCTTTCTGGGACACTGGAACTTGTCCCCATCTGGTGGCCTCCCTTTCCGCAGTCCATGCGTCTGGCTGTTGGTGGCTTCCTGGATCTGGAATTCCCGAGAGTCTGGGCCTCCCATGGGCTTGCTGGCCTGGGCCTACCGAGAGCTGTCTTCCCTGTGGGCAACTGAGGGGCTGTCAGAGTGGACGTGGGGTCTTCTGGGGACTTCTGGGAATTTCAGGGTGTCTCTGAGTCCCTTCTTGTTGACGAGGGACTTGTTCCTGGCTGCCATTTTCCCGAGATGCTGGCCCGGGGGTGGGGGTATTTGCACAGTCAGGTCCTGGGTGAGGGACTTCCCTTCAGAAGTTAGGGATCTCCCCATCCATTGTCCTGGCCCCTAAAGGGCACTGCCCAGGCCATGCCAGGCTCGAGGGGGATGGGGGAGACTTCCTGCCCTTCCTCGGCCCTCCCTTCTCCCAGGGCGCTTGGGTGGGGCGGAGCTGTGGGCCTCCATCTGGTTCACAGTGGCACCCTCTGCCTGAATCGCAGCAGGTCCTCAGTGGACGTGTACAGGAAGAATCAACACAGGCGCCGCGCTCTCCCCCCGGGGCCAGCTGCCGGCAGGCTACACAGCTGGAGCTCAGCTGCGGCCGCGGGCTCCTCCTGGCAGGAGGGTGCTGTGAGCTCTCCTGGGGCTTGCCAGGAGGCAGGGGCTCACCCACAGCCCGGGCCCCCCTGGCTTGGGCTCCCCTCTCCCCAGCAGCTCAGAGTGGGGGCTTGAGGCTGGGGGCGGAAGGTGCCGGAGGCTCGGCCCCCTTCCTGCAGCGTGAGTGGGAGTCTCAGGGTGGGCCCCTCGAGGGCTGAGGGGCCTGGGAAGACCTCAGAGGGGCGGCTTTTGAGGGGGGCCTAGAAACACACTTGAACTCACCTCCGGGGCAGGGGGACGGGACGGGAGGTGCATGAGCTGCGGACCCCTGATTCCAGATGAACTTACATGAAGAAAATGCAGAAGGTTCCGTTTCCCTTCTGAACAACAGACGCCTGTGAGGACCTTGCTAGTCAGCCCCCGGCGTGGGGGAACCTGGTTCCTGCCCAGGAGCCAGCATCCTGGGGGACTGCGTGGCCCAGGGTGCCTCCTGGGGTGCCCCATTTCTGCGACGGGGAGAGCAGGGCCCCGCCAAGCCCCAGGGCTGGTCCAGGCTTTCCAACCACAGAGGCCTGAGCCAGCGCCTGCTCTCCCCGGTGACGGGAAGGGGCAGGCGGCGGTTTGGCTGAGGGTCTGGGACTGTCATTCTTGTTTTCCATGACATCTTGCAGAGCACCAGTGTGCAAAACAGCCCCAGATCTTTAACACTTTGCTCAGGGGACCTCCTGCCTCTGTGTGGCCGGGACGCTCTGAGCCGGCACGCCCCCTTCCTGGTGGCCCAGGGGCCAGCCTCTCTGACCTTCTAGACTCTGGCCTAGACCTGTCTGTCTCCTCCTGTCCCCTGGGTTGAGCAGTGGGGCCAGTCTGAGGACCCACAGATGTCACTGGCTCAACCCACAGAGGTCCCCTTCAGGTTCAGTGCCCTGGCCAGGCCCACGACTTTGTCCTCCTCCTCTGGGATGGACGCCCCTGCGGAGGGCTCTGCTGTCAGCTTGCAGGCCCCTGGTGGCCTGGCTGCCCCTGCCCGTGTGCGCCACCCAAGAGTCAGATGCAGCCAGTGTGTGCATGGCTGGACGGGGTCCGCCATCCGCCTGGCTCTGCCACTCCCGCAGAGCCTGGGGCAGACCCCTCCGTCCCCAGGCCTGGGCCATCTGTGAGGACGGCGAGGGACTGCACTGGCCCTGCTTCCCCTTTGGCCCCTTCTCGGGGGCAGACTCCTCAGCACAGGCCCCGGGCTGGGTGCAGAACGAGTAGGGAAGGCGGGCAGCAGAGCCGGGGGTGCAAATGAGAAAGCTCCCAGGGTTAGAGTCAGCGAGCCCAGTGAGGACCAGAGTGGCGTGGGGAGGTCGAGGAATGACTGGGGCCTGCAGAGGCCCTCACAGATGCCAGGCACTGCCTGAGCCGTGGGCACAGTCCTGCCCCCTGGAACTTCATATCTGCTGGATGAGACCAAGATTGATTTAAATGACAAACCAGACATTTTCACAAATAAAAGAAAAAGAAAAAGGGATGTTGCTCGCAGGACTTCCCGCAGGATCAGGGAATGGAGGAGGGCTCTGGGCAGGGCGGTGGCTGGCACAGCTGGGTTGGCGGAGGGCGTGGGGGTGCGTGTGGCTCTCCCTCCAGGCCACACTGAAGGGTCCTGGTGCTGTCTGTGGCCAGGACAGAGGAGGACGGCATGACTGGTGGGGTCACGGGTGCCACCCTGCTGATCTCATGGTGCCCTTGGGAGGGCAGCAGTGGGCCGCCTGCAGGTGCCCCCATGGTGTGCTCAGTGTGCTCTGGCAGCCAGGAGGCCCCCTTTAGAGAGAGCTGGGGTGGGGGCAGGAGGCCCAAGGCAGGGGCTGCCCATGGGCAGAAGGGGTTGAAGGCCCATCCTCTCCTGCCTCCCTGGCTCTGCCCAGTGGAGGGCTTCCCAGAAGGAAGAGTGCGGTGGCTGGGTGGGGGGCCTTCTCTGGACCCCGAGACCACACTCCTCAGAGGGTAGTGACTACAGAACCTCGTGACATCAGGAGGACCAGAGCTGCCCTGGGTCAGCCCCAAACCACAGTGCTGGGCTGGAGCTCTGGCAGAGTGAGCTGGCGGGCACGGCATGCTGTAGGCAGAGGCCTCCTGTGGTGTGGCCCCTGGTGACCAGCTCCCAGTGGCCTGGAGGCCAAGACCTTACCAGCAGAGCTGCCCCCAGTCCACCATGGACAGCCCCACCTGCTGAGCCTCCTGATGCTGGAACGGTGCCCTCTGTCCGGCAAGCTGGAGCAGGTCCTGGGCCTATAGGAAGCGAGTTTTCCAGGGTGTCCAGTTTCTTCCTCCTTTGGCAGGGGTGGGTGCCCACGTGTCCCCCAGTGGTGCCTGCTGGCCGAGGCGGATTTGCAGCTTGACTCTCGGGTCCTGCAGGCAGCCTGGCCAGAGGGCAGGGCCTCAGTCTGCAAGCCAGGAGTCAGGGAGGGCGGGTCAGTGTGGGCTTCCGTGCCGGGACGCCAGGGACTGGGTGACGCTGTCACAGCAGCTGGAGGTCAAGATGAAGGTGCTGGCAACTCTGGGTCCTGGAGGGATCAGGGCCCCACCTGCCTGACCTCACTCTACCTTCATCCCCTCCAGAAGGACCCTGGCTCCAGATGTGGTTGCACTGGGGTTAGGGCCTCAACAAATGTGTTTTCGAGGGAGAAACCTCAAGTTCCTAACACGCTGGGTCCCCAGATGTATCCACTTGGGTCTTCTCTGGACATGGGCATGGACCTAAGCCAGGCCTTGGTGGGGAAGGCCCCAAGACGAGGGCCGAAGGCGGGCAGGACTGGCTCCGCTCCCCAGGACTGCGCACACAGCGGCAGACCCCGCTGCCTGTAGCTTTCCCTTTGAGATGAACCACTTCTGTGGTGTAGAGGTGGAAGGGAATCTGCGGCCATGGAGGCAGCTCCGTGAGCATGTGCCTGTGCACAGGGAGGCGGGGAGGGCCTGTCCCTCCGAGGCCAGTCCCCAGGCCCTGCCTTCTGATGAACGCACCTAGCTTTGCTTCAGGTCTGAGCTTGGCTGAGGCTTTGGTGTGGCTGGTGTAGGATCCCTGGGCTGTATGTCCCACAGCTGGGGCTCAGAGGCCAGACTGCCTGGGAACAGCCCCCAGGCTGGCCTCCGGCACTGGAGGATCTGCCTCTCAGCCTTCTGGGAATCCCCCACACAGGATGAGCAGAGGACACTGGCTTGGCTCCCTGGTGTGCACAGCTTGAGAGCATCTGGGATGTCCCTATGCTGTGAAGCAGAGGACCAGAGGACAAGCTCTGTCCTGGGACTCTAGGCTGCACAGGGACCCCAGCTCCTCCCTTGCGTCTGCCCCTGGTGGGATCCTGCATGAGGACCCCAGGCCTGCCCCTGTGTCTGCCCCTGCTGGGCTCACCCTTGGGCCCACCTCAGGGGCTACGCCCCTTTGGGGCTACTGAGGAGAAGTCCCTTCCAGTCTTGCACTGCCCCTTGGGTCCTTGTTGTCCGTGGTCCGTGCTCCCTGCTCGCCTGCAGGCTCTGCCCCTCTGGGCCTGCTGCTCTGCCTGCTGCTCTGCCAGACGCGTCTGGTTCCCATTAGGCTCCTGAGGAGGGGTGCCGTTGGTGTGGTGAGCACAGATGAACAGAGTCCCCAGGAATGTGGGGCCAGCTCAGGCCATGTGTGCTCGGGAGCCCTGAAGGGAGAGCCAGGGCTGAGCAGAGCTGGAGAGGTGAGGTTGGCGGGGTGGGGGGCAGAGTTGGGGAGGGGGCTCCGGCTGACAGGCTTACCTCGGTTCTGCCCTGCTTGAGTGTGCCCCGGCCACAGAGTGACCACTGCCTCTCCTGCAACGGCTTTGCTCGGGTGCTCGTGGTGGGGGACCCTGGACAGTGCTCTCCAGCACGGCCGCGGGGAGGCAGGCGCTTTGGCGAGGGCTGGTTTCTGAGCCACCTCGCTCCAGGGAAGCCCTGCTCTGGCCGACAGCTCCCCGGGTTCACGGAGCCCCAGCACCATGGCCTCCAGCGCCTGCTCCTCCATGGTGCCAGCCCTGGCCCCCAGTCCTACATGCAATGACGGTCACTGGTTCCCAAACTCGGGCCAGGCTGGCTGCCCCTGGGGTTGGCAGCATCTCCACCCCAGGGAGCATCTTGGGGTGACACCTGGCCCCCACACTCAGCGCTTCAGTAACGGGGCTCAGCTTGGCTCGGACAGCTCTGGCGCAGGCCGGCGGCAGACAGTCTGGCCCGCCCGGCCTGGGAGCAGCGCATATCTGTGGTTTCCCTGCTGAGCTTGGGGCCCATTCCTCTCTAACCACAAGGCGATGGCCAGAGACTTGATTGTAACCAAATCTGTACCAAGGAGCTGGCTGCTGCTTCTGGTGGAGGCACAGGGCCACCTGGGCCAGCCAAGGCCATGCCTGCTATCCATCCGTGGGGCACACAGCTCCCCACTGGGCCACTGTCGCCACGGGGCCTGTGCCTGAGGGGCTCAGGCATGAAGGATGGGGACGCGGCCTCTGCTTATGGCCTCACCTGGTACCCTCCTTGTGACCTCTGAGGGGACTGGGCACTGGGATCTGGTTCCAGTGAGGCGTGGCCCTTCTAGGGTGGGAAGGGGTGGCTCCGGTGTCCTAGGAGCTGGTGGCCAGGCCTGCGCGGCACAGTGGCCACCCACAGTGGCTCCACACCCGCCCCTCTGCCCCGTCCTCCAGGGAGCATGCTGGCTGTTCCTGGCCACTGTCCCTCTTGGGCCTCTCAGAGGCCCGGGGTTGGCGTCCTCTGGTGGGGAGGGCAGGGCTCTGTTGAGGCAGGACAGTCCGCAGTGCCTCTGTGTCCCGCCCTCAGGAGGGCAGAACTGGGGGGTCCTGAGCATGGCCACCGACCTCCAGACCTGAGGGTGGCTGAGAGCTCAGTCAGCCTGGGGCCTGCCGCGCCTGCTCCCAAGGCCCCAGGTCCAGGACCGGACACAAAGGCAGAGGCCCGGAGGCTGCAGGAGGTGGCCGCCTCGGCCTGCTCCTGCCAGCCTGGGGTGAGGTCTGGGAGCAGGCTGTCCCCTCAGCTGACTTGGGCTTCTTTCTGTGTCCCCAGCCGTCAACTCCTGTGCCTTGGGCCATGGCGGCTGCCAGCACCAGTGCGTCCAGCTCACGGTGACGCGGCACCGCTGCCAGTGCCGGCCGGGCTTCCAGCTGCAGGAGGACGGCAGGCGCTGTGCCCGTGAGTGCCACCCCCCTGGGAGAGGCGGGGACTCTCCAGACACCCTGCCCTTCACAGGCCTGCCCAGGACCCGAAGCCTGGGCTGGAGAGCTGGGCGGAGGCTGGAGGGGACCCTGGGGGACCTGGTCCAGGAGGGAGGGAGGGCCTGAGCGGGGCCTGGAGGCTGGGCTCTGGGGTGGACACCAGGGGCAGGAAGCCAGCACGGGGATGGCACGCCAGACGCCCACCCGGAGCCCAGGCCCTGCGCAGAAGAGGCAGCCAGGCCCCCTCAGCCCGTGCCCATGGGACCTCGAGCTGCCCGCTTGGGGGCTGTGCTGAGAAGGTGGGCAGAGCAGGAGAGGGACAGGTGCTGAGAGCCTCTGCATCCTGGCCCCGGGGCCTTCCCAGCAGGGCAGTGAGTGTGGCTCCAGGTCCACGCCAGCCGTGGGCACAGATGGAATGGTCACGGTGCTGAGAGTCACGGTGCCAGTGGGTTAGAGCGCCATGGATGTCACAGGGCTGGGGGTGGCACAGGGTTAGGGATCACAGGATTGGTTGTCACAGGGCTGAGGCTGTCACAGCGTGGGGGTCACTGGGCTGGGGGTCACAGGTGGGGATCACAGTGCTGAGGCTGTCACAGGGCTGAGGGGGTCACAGGGTCAGTGTAACAGGATGTGGGGGTAACGGCTGGGGTGTCACAGGGTTGGGGGTCACAGGGCAGAGGGGGTCACAGGGTCAGTGTAACAGGACGTGGGGGTCACAGGTGGGGATCACAGTGCTGAGGTGGTCACAGGGCAGAGGGGGTCACAGGGTCAGTGTAACAGGATGTGGGGGTAACGGCTGGGGTGTCACAGGGTTAGCGGTCACAGGGCTGAGGGGGTCACAGGGTCAGTGTAACCGGATGTGGGGGTCACGGCTGGGTGTCACAGGGCTGAGGGCCACAGGGCAGAGGGTATCATAGCCAGGGTCCACGGCCCGGTGTCCACTCTGGCACCTCAGTGCTAAGACAGGACTTTGAAGGGGCTGGCTGGCCACTGCTGAAGGCCCTGGTCTGGTTGGGCCTCCCTTCCTGGTGTCCCCCGCCTCCTGGGAAGCCCGCGACCGAGTGCTGGGGGTTCGTGGGATGCAGGCAGCTGGTGTCCCGGTGGATGCTCAGGGGAGCCCTGGCCTTTCCTGGGGCCTTGGGCCTCCCACATCTGGGAGGGACCCTCGGCCCAGGCTGGAGCAGGAAGCGGCGGGAGGTCCCAGGGCTGGTGTCACCAATCTGCTGGTCCCACCCTGATCCCTCCCCTTCCCCATTCCTCTGCCCGCACTGCAGGGAGAAGCCCGTGTGCAGACGGGAATGGCGGCTGCATGCACACGTGCCAGGTGCTGCGGGGCCTGGCCCACTGTGGGTGCCGAGCGGGCTACCAGCTGGCTGCCGACCGCAAGGCCTGTGAAGGTGGGCCCCCGCTCCACCTGCCCATGTCACTGCAGTGTCCCTGGACACGTGGCTCACCTTGCCACCCTTGGGTGACCAGGATGGAGTGGTGGGAGGCCGGGTGAGGAGCACCCCGGGAGCTGCCTCCAGCAAGGCTCGTTGTGACGGGGGCAGCTGAGGTTTCACTCCGAGGTCTCTTGCAGTAGGCAGCCATAGCTGCTGTTGGGAAGTGGGGAGAGGGCAGCAGAGTGGGGCTGCCCCAGGAGCCCGACAGAAACTGCCGCCGTCCCTGGTGCTGTCCTCTGGGGCTCCTAGTTAAATGGTGCTTCGTGTCAGGTCACGGTCGGGAGGTATTGGCTGATGGCCTTTCTGCTTCCCTGCTGCTGTCCAGCTGCAGGACCCTGCTGTGCCTGGGCTCAACCACAGGCCTGGGTGTCCAGCATCCCTGGCTCTCGCCCGTGGCCAGCACGGCTGGGAAGAGCAGCCTGTGGTGTGTGGCGGCTGTCCTTGGCCCGCGACCTTTGGGCCAGTGATAAGCCAAGGGGTGTCCAGAGAGGCAGTGGTCAGTTTCCATGGTGTCCCACCAGATGGCCAGCTGCCCATGCTTCCCCTCCCCATGAGGACCAGGAAGTGGCCGCTGGTGTGGAGGTTGAGCCTGTCACTCTGGGTGCAGGTGGCCGCCGCAGGCTCAGATGAGCCCAGCTCAGGGTCAGCCTCATCCTGAGGAGTCTGCTGGGGTGCGGCTGTTGCCTGGACAGCGGAGTTTGGTCCTGACCGCCAGTGTGTGTGGCCCCAGGCCAGCATTACTGTGCCCGGGGTGCCCGGGTCATGAGCTCCTCCTGTCCCTGGGGCGTGAAAAGACATCTCCCGTGCCCTTAGACCTGCCTTTGGTCTCTCCGCTCCAGACGTGGACGAGTGTGCCTCGGGGCTGGCCCAGTGTGCCCACGGCTGCCTCAACACTCAGGGCACCTTCAAATGCGTGTGCCACGCAGGCTACGAGCTGGGTGCTGATGGCCGGCAGTGCTACCGTGAGTGGGCAGCGAGCGGCCGCTGGGTGCCGAGGGTGGCCGCGGGGCCCTCAGCCCTCAGCCGCCCTCAGCACCCTGGCGGGCTTCTGGGCCCATGGGGCGGCCCTGGATTCCAGTCCCCGTCCCCCACCTGCTGGCCTGTCCCGTCACAGGGATCGAGATGGAGATTGTGAACAGCTGCGAGGCCGGCCAGGGCGGCTGCTCCCACGGCTGCAGCCACACCAGCGCAGGGCCCCTCTGCACCTGTCCCCATGGCTACGAGCTGGACGAGGACCAGAAGACCTGTGTTGGTAGGACGGGTTCCGTCCAGGGCAAGCCGCCTGCCCACTGGACACAGGCTGCCACCCGGGCCTGGGGCTCGGGTGACACCATGACTCGGGGGCCTCCCCTGCCTCCCCGTCCCTGCCCTGGCTGCTTGGGCTGGCCAGGGGGTGCTGACCTGGAGAGGGGCAGCGTCACAGTCCAGAAGGACCTGGCTGCCTGCAGGGCACCACCTGACACACTTGGCCCCACCTTGGCCCTGGCTGTGAAGTGTGCTCTGTGTGTGATTGTGAGCAGTGTGTGGTAGTGTGCAGGTGTGTGGTTGTGTGCAGATATGTGTGGTTGTGTGCAGGTGTATGTGGTTGTGTGTGGTGTGTGAAATGTGGTTGTGTGCAGGTGTGTGTGGTCATGCAGGTGTATGGTCATGTGTGGTGTGTGGTAGTGTGCAGGTGTGTGTGGTTGTGTGTGGTGTGTGGTCATGTGCAGGTGTGTGGTAGTGTGTAGATGTCTGTGGTTGTGTGTGGTGTGTGGTCATGTGCAGTGTGTGTGGTAGTGTGCAGGTGTGTGTGGTCATCCAGGTGTGTGGTCGTGTGTAGTGTGTGGTAGTGTGCAGGTTGTGGTTGTGTGTGGTGTGTGGTCATGTGCTGTGTATGCGGTTGTGTGCAGTGTGTGGTCGAGTGCAGGTGCGTGGTTGTGTGTTGTGTGCGGAGCATGGTAGTGTGCAGGTGTATGTGGTTGTGTGTGGTGTGTGATATATGGTTGTGTGCAGGTGTGTGTGGTCATGCAGGTGTATGGTCGTGTGCGGTGTGTGGTAGTGTGCAGGTGTGTGTGGTTGTGTGTTGTGTGTGGTCGTGTGAGGTGTGTGGTAGTGTGCAGATGTCTGTGGTTGTGTGTGGGGGTGTGGTCATGTGCAGGTGTGTGTGGTTGTGTGCAGGTGTGTGTGGTCATGCAGGTGTGTGGTAGTGTGCAGGTGTGTGTGGTAGTGTGCAGGTGTGTGGTCGTGTGCAGTGTGTGGTAGTGTGCAGGTGTGTGTAGTTGTGTGCTGTGTGTGTGGCTTTGTGCAGGTGTGTGACTATGATTGTGTGTGTGCAGGTGCGTGCCCCTGGGTGTAGGCGTGAGGCACTGTGGCTGTCGCAGGTGTGTGTGGAGGTGACGTGGCCATGTGCACAGTGGTTGGAGGGCAGGAGGCTGAAGGCGTGTGTGGCTGTGTGGGCGTGTGGTGAGCGTGTGCAGGGCGGTCTGCAGGGCTGTGGGGCGGGTGTGGAGGCGCCGGGTGCCAGTGGCCTGCCGTGTGCCCTGCAGACGTTGACGACTGTGCCGACTCCCCGTGCTGCCAGCAGGTCTGCGCCAACAGCCCCGGCGGGTACGAGTGTGGCTGCTACGCCGGCTACCGGCTCAGCACCGATGGCTGCAGCTGTGAGGGTGAGCGCCTGCCGGCCGCGGGCAGCTGGGCGACTAGGGCAAGGACAGGCCAGCGCGGCCCTCCCACGGTGCCCATCTTGTGCCCCCCCCCCCCGGCATTCATGGAGTGCCTGCCGACTGCAGCGTGCTGACCCGCCCTCCCTCCCTCTGGCTTGGGGTCCCTGGCCACTCTCCGGGGCTGGCCCTGCAGTCCTGGCTGCGCCCTGAGTTTCTCTCCCAGTGTGGCCGCCCTCAGGCGGTGTCTGCTGTCACTCTGCCCCTGAGGGTGAGGAGAGCAGGAGAGGCCGCAGCGGTGTTACCAGCCAGCTTAGGGAGACAGCTGCTCGGCTCCGTCCACCAGCAGGGCCAGGACTGGCGTGGCCCCTGAGGTTCTGACCCAGGCGCACAGTCCAAGTGGTCCCCTTTCCCGCAGACGTTGACGAGTGCGCCTCGGGCCACGGAGGCTGTGAGCACCACTGCACCAACACGGCCGGCTCCTTCCAGTGCTCCTGCGAGGCCGGCTACCGGCTGGACGAGGACCGCAGAGGATGCACCCGTGAGCCTCCCCTCCCGGCACCCCTGCGCCACTGTGGCTGGCCCCACACCCTTGCCTCCTGGGCCTGCGTGGCCCCACGTGGTGCTGCCCCCTACTGTAGGGGTGGGGAAGGGAGCTGGCCACACTGGCATCTCCCAGGGCCAAGTGCACGGGGTCTACCAGGTGAGGGGACATCAGGGGGCACATGGGACTCTGGGCCTCTGTGTCCCTCCCCAGCTCTGGAGGAGCTCATGGTGGACCTGGATGGCCAGCTGCCCTTCGTGCGGCCCCTGCCCCACATCGCGGTGCTGCGGGACGGGCTGCCGCAGCTCTTCCAGGACGACTCTGGGGCCGAGGAGGAGGAGGAGGAGGAGGAGGCAGAGCTGCGGGGGGAGCACACGCTCACTGAGAAGTTTGGTGAGGGGGCCGGCTTGGAGCTCCTGTCCTCAGGGACAGCCAACCAGGCTCCGTCACCCCGTGGCCTTGGGCATACGGAGGGAGCTGCGGGGGCCCAGGGAAGTGCAGCTCCTGGCCTAGTTTGCACAGCCCGACGGGGGCTAGAGCAGGTCCCCGGCTCCCAGGTCGGCTCGCCCGGCCTCATCCCACCTCACGCTTGTGGATCCTCCGGGCTAAGGGTGTGCCTTGGTCCTCTTCCTGACCCTAGGGCCCGAGTCCAGCCCCTGTGCCTGCCAAGCCCAGGCAGGGAACGAGGCTGGGGCCGGGCTCTGAGTCCCTCTCTGTCCACCCCAGTCTGCCTGGGTGACACTTTCGGCCAGGACTGCAGCTTGACCTGCGACGACTGTGTGAACGGAGGGACCTGCCTCCCAGGCCTGGACGGCTGCGACTGCCCCGAGGGCTGGACCGGGCTCGTCTGCAATGAGAGTGAGGCCATGGGCAGGGCTGGGCGCCAGGCAGGGGGCCTCTGGGCCCAGACCTGAGGGCAGCCCACTCGGTGTTGCTCCTCCTGGGAGTCCTGGGCAGGGGGCTTGAGGGTCCGTCCATCTGTGCATTCTTTGTTTCTTGATAAGTTCTGCTGCCTGCGTCTGTGCCGGGCACTGCTTGGTGCTGCCCAGGGACAAGCCCCTGGCGTATGAGGCTCCGCCTCAGTCTCCAGGGGCTCAGCTGCAGCCATACCCCAAGGCGCCCGGGGCAGGGGCATCTGGGAAGGGAGTGGTGGGGGGCTTCTCTGGTGTAGGTAGCCAGGATGTCCTGCGTCCCCCAGGAGCAGGGACCTCGGGGCCACACGGCAAGCTAGTAGCTAAAGCACTTTCAAACTCCCTCGGTCCAGAGCCGTCCGCTCCCTGCCCAGCACCCCAGAGCAGGGTGGCCCTGGAGGCCAGGGCTCTTCTCCAGGGCCATGGGCCATGCCTGGTTTGAAAGGGCTGGTTCAGAAGGACCCGAGTCTTTTCGTTGGAGGGAGAGGTTGGCGGTCGCAGGGTCTCTGCCGCAGTGTGGTGGAGGCCTAGCACAGATGGCTCCAGCCACAGAGTGGCCGAGGTCAGGTCTGCTGAGTGTCCAGGGTGGGGCGGACTCTGGGTCCAGGGTCCCTCTGGCCACTGACCCTGGTGCGTCCCTCTCCCCCGTAGCTTGTCCTCCAGACACCTTTGGAAAGAACTGCAGCTCCCCCTGTGGCTGCCAGAACGGAGGGACCTGCGATCCTGTGACGGGTGCCTGCCGCTGTCCCCCAGGTGTCAGCGGGACTCACTGTGAGGACGGTGCGTGCAGCCCCTGGGGCAAGGGGGCAGGGGCAGGTGCCACCACCCTCCCCGCCTGATCCTCCTAGGCACTGCTGTGCTCAGGAGCCGTGAATGCAGTCCTTGCTCAGACCCCGGCCCCTGCCTCCAGGGCTGAGGCTGGGAGGGAAGGAGGCCATTCAGTGGGACAGCCTTCATTTCTCAGTGTGGCTCCTCTTCCAGGGCTTGACTCTAGATGGGATAGGCTTGAGGGATGATGTCTTTGCAGTGGGCACCGTGGGTAGGTAGTGAGCCTCCTGTTCCTGGAAGCATTCAAGTAGAGCTGGGTGTTGGCTGGCTGGGGTGTGCAAGAGGGTGTTCTGCCTGGGCTGGTGGCCGTGGGGTGATCTCGGCTATCTCAGTTTATGGAGAAACCAGGGTCCGTAGAAATACGTTTCCTAGGAGCTAACGCTTGTCTCTGGGCCTGCAGACCTTCCCGGCCTGCCCTTTGGGCTGGAGAGGAGGGGATGCCAGTTCAGCTTCCTGCCTGAGCGAGAGGAGGCACCGTCAACAGACACTGACCCCCACGCTCTTTGTGGCACATGCTGGGCTCTGTGGGCTGGTTGTTCGGGGGCAATAGAGTCCCCAGGCTGCCATGTGGCTTTCTAACTCTTCTCCGTGGTCAGCGTCCCTGCTGTCCTTTCCCCGTCCTCTGCCGTCACTGTCACGCAGAGGCTGACCATCCCATGACTTGGGGGCCAGAGTGCACAGGTGGGTGATGGCGGGGCACATCTGGCAGGTGAGGATCTGAATCTCAGTGCTTCTGCTTTGCGTTATCCACCTGGCCTCCCAGAGGCGGGTCTTGGGGTGTCCTATGGAGGGCCACCAGAGGCCCTGCTAGTAAGTGCTCCTGTGCAGGTCAGCGGAGGGAGGGCTGTCCCCCGGAGACAGGCAGGTGAGTTTCAGGGTGCTGTTGGTTTCCCAGGCCACAGGCTCCCCTTGGCTGTGGTCTCTGCTCGAGGGCCCTGCCTCTGCCCCGTGCCTTCCTCTTCCTGTCTCAAACCCGCCTGCCTGGACCCTGACGCTGGTCATTGGATTTAGGTCCACCTGGGCAGTGCAGGGCAGTCTCATCCTGAGAGCCTGGGGACGAGGACGTGGACAAGCTCTTGGGGGTCCACCTTTAACTCAAATAGCCACTTGAATGGGAGGAAGGACTGGGCAGGGCAGAGCCAGAGGGAAGTGCTTTGGGAAGGACAGCGCTGCCCGGGGCCTCCTGAGGTTTGGGCTGGGCCTTGGCCTGGAGGGGCCTTGTGTCCTTCCTGCTTTGAGGCAGGGAGGTCAGGTTTGGTGCTCCAGGTGTGGTCAGGTGCTGGAGCACTGGACACAAGCTCCGGTCCCTCAGGGGTGTGCTGGGGGATGGACTTGGCCGCCCATTCTTGTCACGGACCCTGGGGGTCCTGGCTGGCCCAGCCGGTGGCCTCATCTAGGAGATCCATCTCATGCCCCTGGCAGATGCTGCTCCTGACTCTTACACTGGACTAGGCCTGCATGTCCCTTAGACAGGGGTCACTCTCTGAGTCTCACTGGGCCCCCACCCTCAGGCTGCCCCAAGGGCTTCTATGGCAAACACTGTCGCAAGAAATGCCACTGTGCCAACCGGGGCCGATGTCACCGCCTCTACGGGGCCTGCCTCTGTGACCCGGGGCTCTATGGCCGCTTCTGCCACCTGGGTGAGTCCTGCTGCCCCTGCGATGTCTGAGCTGACTGCTGTGTGTGTGTGTGTGTGGGGGGGGCGGGCAGTCCTCGTCCTGTGCCAGCCACACACTGCCAGCTGGGCTCCAGGGTCTGTTCCTGATGGGGATGCCAGTCCACGTCCTCCACTGCAACTGGGCTGTCCCCAGCCTGTGGCACCCCCAGCCCCAGCCCAGAGAGGTGGGAGGGCAGAGGCCGGAGCGTCCTCCCAGGCCTGGTGGTCACACAGCCCCAGGGGCCACAGGCAGGCAGGAAAGGGACAAGGCTTGGCAGGAGAGGCAGAGAAGCTCCCTCCTTCATCTGCAAAGGAGTGTGTCCCCTGCCTTGGGGAAGTGGTGGGACCCGGGCAAGTCCCTGAACTTCAAAGACCCTGGGGCTCATCTGTCAAGTGGACACACGGGCTTCAGCCCCCTGGGCATGAGAAGAGGTGCTCCAAGAGGTGCCCCGATGCCCAGAACGTCCCCCAAGGGGCACAGCCACAGAGGCCCATCACCTTCACCCTGTGTTGGGGACGGGGGTGCCGTGGGCAGCCCTCTCATGGCTATGTGGGTGCAGCCTGCCCGCCCTGGGCCTTCGGGCCGGGCTGCTCCGAGGAGTGCCTCTGCGAACAGTCCCACACGCAGTCCTGTGACCGGAGAGATGGCACCTGCTCCTGCAAGGCTGGCTTCAGGGGCAAGCGGTGTCAGGCAGGTGA